ATTTTGTGACTTCCCTCAGAGCCATTTCAGCTTAGTGCTGGCATGGTGGAGGTACTTTAATACACCAGGGTCCGGAGAAGAGGAGAGAGCAGTGACAGATTTTTTGTGTTATTATTAAAACTATGTGATTTTTCTCCCTATGTCTAACTATAGTTTTTTAGATGATAGTTATTATTTGGGAGAACAATATGTAAAATTTTATCCAGGACTTTCTTTGAATTTTTAAGTAAATTATATTCTGAAATGTGGGTTTTCTTGCTTTCAAGGCACATTACACATTATGGATGCATATTTTAATAGATACAGTCTCATTACTTTGCAAAATTAAAATAACTTAATTCAGTACAATTGCACAGTATATGCTTCAAATAAGCAGAATACTGCTTCAATTACCAACACCCTTGACAAAGTAGTTTCAGTGAGCTATACCACACGCATCTTAATGTTATTTTTACAAAACTGAGAAACACAAATAATTGAGACTCTATTATATTATTTTAACAAGCTTCCCAGCATAAGAAATGAGCAATTCTTAATCTATTCTGAACCCTATAAGCTAATTTGGCTTCATCCCAACATGCATCCCTGTGATACTTGCACTTCGTGTCTTTCCTTCCTGGGCTTTCTCTCCTCGTCCCTTTCGGATATCTGCCCATGGCTGTACTCCCTACTTCCTCCTCTCACTCCTCCTCCCCTAGCTGGCTGAAAGCCCAGCCCTATTCTCTCCCTTACTCAGTGATGGGCTGTAAGCTGCTTTATTGGCATATCAGGGAGAACTGGGAAGTAGTGTTCATCTGACATTGAGTAAGGAGAGTCTCAAAACAAGGACTGCAACCAGATTGGGGGGGGGTACTGAAATCAGCATTTGAATTACACAATAACCCTATGCCTGCACATGGTTATATTTTGTGTACTACTTGATGATTAAATGTATACATGCCCATCTCCATAATAGACACTCCAACTGTAAAATGGTTCTTAGTGCTATGCTGGAGCAGCTCTCCTATTTGTCCAGAACTATTCACAGATCTTCATCACTATAGAGTAGCTTGAATTTCTAAACAGTTTATGCAAATAAGGCTAATCATGCACCATGCATTTCTTTAAGTTTCAAAAACCCAGTGCACTTTTTTGGAGCTCACTCATGCTGTGTTATGTTCCAAGTGTTCATTTATTTTGATTTCTACTGAGTAGTACTTTCTTGTACACTACGACACATTTTATTGTTTGTCTATTGATGGGTGTTGGGCTTGTGGCTGAATTTTAGGTTCTTTTATCAGAATATGAATGCACAAGTCTTTGTGTGTGTATATATATGTGTGTGTGTGTGTGTGTGTGTGTGTGTGTATACACACACACACACACACACACACACATACACATGTGTAGATATCCCTCATCTATAGGACTATCCTCCAAGTTTCCTCAATTTATGAAGGGTTATGGCAATCGTCTTTTCCAAAGTTATTTGACCATTTGACAGGTTATTATATGTGTGGTATCAAATCTGTGAACTTTCACTTTCTCTCTCTTGTACATCCTCTGTTGCCCATATTTTTCCATCTCTGTACCCAAGATGCTGCACATTACTACATCATATTAAATCCTGACAACCTGTCAATTTATCTGATTTTTTCCTATTTGTTAAGAGTCCTTGCTTGGTTTACCTATGGCACTGTTGTCTCGACTTCAGTGCCTCCATACTTCTGGATGCTAACGCTTAACCATAAACGATCAATGCCTAAAAACTTTGCTATCAACCAGTGCCCCCTAATCATACTTGTTTATTTTTTATTTTTTGTTTTTATTGTTTGTATGTATATACGTATGCAAGAGTACACCTGTTGGTGTAAGTGTCACATGTAGGAGGTATGTCTGTGTAAGTGGAGGCCAGAGGTCTACTACTTTAGGCGTTACTCCCCAGGAGCACACACACACGTTTTTTCAGATAGAGTTTCTCACTGTGATCAGGAAGTCACTGTGGGCTGGCCAGCCAGTGGGCCTCAGCAATCCACCTGTTTCTGCTTACCAGTGCTGGGATAAAAGCACTTAACACCATAAATGGTGGGAACGGAACCAGGGTGCTTATGCCTGTGTGATAAGTGCTTCATCAGCTGTGTCTGTGTTTATACTGTTTAACAGTCATTTGTAATCTGTAAACTGCCTCTGAGTGCATTTTCCCCTGTGAGCTCATACTTCTAGATGTCATGTCTGGATCATATGTTTTCAGTCTTTTCTAGATGTCCTTTGACCCATCCAGCCCTAAGTGATGCGCTCACCAGGCTGTGAGGACTGGGCTCCTCCTTGCGATAGGATTCAGATTTGTCCTCAAAAAAATTCTACTTGAGTTCATCTGTTTCCGCAAGGACATGATGCTGGGCAGCTGCTGCTGCAGCCATGTACTGATGACAGGCAGATCTCACAGAGTCGACGTCTTTAACTATGTAAAGTGGGTGAATCTACCTGGTAGATGTGTTCCCTGCGTACTGGTTCTGCGGTCTGTAGCTCCCCTTTTATATGGTGCCAACCCAATCAGCCTCCTTTCTATTTGTCCAAAGTGTTTGTCACTTCCCCACCTGAGCACTGCAGGGTTTTTTAAATCCTCCTTCAGTATACGTTTGCACAGATCTTTAAGTAACCTGGCCTGTAACATGATCACATGCCAGGTAATGATGATTATGTTAGAGAGGCCTGCTTCGCCCATGCCTTCCACACTTACTCATCCTGTAACTTTCATACAGGAATATATATTTCAGGCACTTCTTAGGCACTACTTTTCTTTCACTTACTGCTTCTTAGCTGGAATTCTCCATGCATAAACACCGTCACTAAGATAGTAAGGAGTTTGAAGGACAGACAAAAACAATAGTTACAGGAAGACAATGTTCAGTGTTTGCTCTATACATCAGTGCCCATGTGACTTCTTTTTGTTAATTAAAAAAAATCTCATGAGTGAACAGATTGACTCAAATGCCTACTCAAATCCTAGTCACCGTTTGAAGCCCAATAAATAACACATTTTCAAGAATCTTCTAGACAGATATTTTTCTGTTTTCTCACAGTATTTTAAATATTTTATCTTTCTTTGTTATAGTTGTCATGACTTCATTATTAGTTTAAAATATAGTGGAATTAGGGAATTTATTTGGCTTTAATATGTATTTCAGATTTCAAAACTTTACCAATACTGAAATTATATCAGTGAATTCAGAAATTAAAAAAAAATCAGTCATATGCTAAGACTGTTGACTGTTTTATTCAATTGTTTGTTGTGAAACACTTAAAACATACATAAAAGGATAATACTATTATGATAATATCAATGGGCTCACCATCAGCTTTAAAACACTGATAGTAAGACATTAATTCTTCATGTGGCTCTCCTACAGTCTTTTATCTTCCTTTCTCCTCAGTCCCAACCATGATCCTGAAGTTATTAGTGTCTTTATTATTGCTTCCTGTTTGTGTTGGCATGGATATTTTACATTATCTTCACACATGTCTGCCCTGCAGGTGTGAAGATGTATATAGATTAGGCAGTGTTATTTGGAATGTTTCTAATGGGCACTGGGCTCATTTTATACATTCTTTCTTCATTTATGTTTTCAGATAGTCTGTGCTGGTGCCTATAATGGTATAACTCTGTTGTGAGATCACTGTTTAATTGCTATGTAATATTCCTTTACAAAATGCTTTTTATATGTTCTTTGTGTATTTTCTTAGTGGAAAAGCATTTAATTTCCCCTTTTCACTTTTGGAAGTCATTAGTATAATAAACATTCTCAAACAATTTATTGGTAGCCTTGGAATACATTACAGAATTTCTAATATGAATTTCCACTTTGGAATGAAGGTGCTAATTATGATTAAGAACACGTGTACAGGATCCAAGGTTCAAATCCTTTTTTGGCCCTTACTAGCACTTCCAGGAAGCAATAACCACTAGCTGTTTTCTACTCTCAGTGTGCATGCCTTACCTCAGCCCTTGGCATCAAGCAGTCAAGCTGGCATTGGTCTTCTTGGCTCTACTGTGTCCTGCCAGAGCCAGTTCCCAGATGCTGCTTGCCTACTTTTGGAGCCAGAGACCAGCAGGTCTGTAGTTTCACGTAATAACCACTTTGCATTTTAGTTCCATTTCTAATCCACTGAGTGATTTAATTTTTCTTAAGCCTGAGCATTAGTCTTCTTTTTAAATATTTTATTTATCATTGTGTGAGTCTGGTGGTGGGGGGGGGGGCTGGGGAGGATGGGAAATATGAACTTCTTTTGCTCACCATAATCAGAAGTTGATAATACCTGGACGACCTTTTAAAATAAGCACACATTTTTAGACTTGTCTAATCATGGATTTTTCAAGCTGGAAGGCATTTTAAAGAAAAGGCCAATAACCTTACTTTATAGGTGAGGGAATTGAGGTCCCGAGAAACTAAGTGATTTACTGATGTCATGCCAGTAGTTGATGGTGGCAAGCCCAGACCAAAGCCCATGGGTCCCTTCTATTTTCCCTTTGCCACTACATCCACTGTCATAGTTTTCTTTATAAGCTAAGATTAAATGTAGCATTATATTTTTTAACAGGACCCAAAGAATGCACAGGAATTTAAGAAATTGGAAAAAAAAGATACCCCATGTTAAAACTAACATGAAATGTTTTCTTTGAGATACAAAATAATAATCCACTTGCCCCTATACTTAGTTGAATATCTTTTCATTAGAAGGCACAATGCCTTTCGCTCTGGGTTCCTGCCACATTCAGTTTCCTCAAACTTCTGAAACTTATTAGAATGGGCCCATCAATAATGTTGCAGATACTTCCAGCCGCCTGGAGGCTGGGCCTGAAAACGAACTGTGGTGAAGGAGTATAACTAGCATCAATAGTGATAGCCTATATTTCTACTGTCATGTAGAGATGGCTTATTAGGATTCCTGAACTTTTTAGGTCTTGAAATTTAGGTTCTGGTGCCATTAAAACCTTTGGAACTGTTTTATTCTATTTCTAGATCTTTTAGCTGTGCCTAAGCATCCGTATGCTGCTATGGAGAACTGGGGACTAAGTATTTTTGTGGAACAAAGAATCCTGCTGGATCCCAGTGTTTCATCTATTTCTTATTTGCTGGATGTCACCATGGTCATTGTTCATGAAATATGTCACCAGGTACGAGAAAAGGAACAGGTGTAAGTATAATGTGAAACTGTCTAGAATGTGGGGCGGCTTCAGATGTACGGATGACGATCTTGGCTCTCATCCTCGCACCCATGTTTTATACAAAGCACTGCACAGTTTCTCTGCATGGCATATCATTTTTCTCAGACGATAAGGTAAGCACACATACACAAACTGATGGTATCGAGTAAGCCACTGCCACTGGCTTTTCTTAAACTGTGTGACGGAGCGGCGGCTCCTTCAGAGCCTCTGTGTAGCTGCTGATCAGCCATGTTTCCATTTCTTTGATTATTAGTCTGTACATATGGCAAGTGCAGTGAGAGAAATGATATACTGCACTGTGGAGAGATGCAGCTGAATTTTGTGGATGTGTCAGAATTTTCTTTTGCCAAAATTGGTTTGTTATTCTTCTTTCCCCTCACGTAGACGCATAGGAAGTCTTTCACTAGCTCAGCTGTAGACGCTTTGTCCTCAAATGAATGATATATTTTTACTTGGCATAGTTAAAAATTCATACATGAATTGGACAACTTCATTGTGAAGCTGGGACAAAAATTAATTTCGTTTTGATTTTATGAACTTACTCATAGTAGTAAGTACTACTTACACATAGGAGTAGTGGAACGATACTTGGCCACACTTGTTTTGTTTTGTTTTTTTTTCATTTTATTTTTTTCTTATCAGTTACATTTTATTAACTCTGTATCCCAGCTGTGTCCCAATCCCTCATTCCCTCCCAATCCCACCCTCCCTCCCTCCTCTCCACCCTGCCCCTTTCCAAGTCCACTGATGGGGGGAACCTCCTCCCCATTCATCTGATCCTGTTTTATCAGGTATCTTCAGGACTGGCTGGGAAGCCCTCCTCTGTGGCCTAACAGGACTGCTCCTCCCTTGGTGGGTGGGGAGGCCAAAGAGCCAGTCATTGAGTTCCTGTTAGAAATAGTCCTTGTTCTCCTCACTATGGGAAACCAATTGGTTACTGAGCTACCACAGGCTACATCTGAGCAGAGGTTCTAGGTTATATCCATACATGGTCCTTGGTTGAATGTCAGTATCTGAAAAGACCCTGTGCCCAGATATATTTGGTCCCTGTGGAGCTTCTATCCTTTCCCCATCATACTAACTCCCCTTCTTTCATATGATTCCCTGTACTCTGCCAAAGGTTTGGTCATGAGTCTTTGTATCTGCTTTGAAAACACTGCTAGTTAGAGTCTTTCAGATGTGCTCAGTAGACTCTGTCATATGTTCAATGCACATCCCATCTGTCTTTCTAAACGAGGATTGATCATCTTACCCCATGTCCGTTCTCTTGATTATCTTTTTTAGGTGTATAGATTTCATTATGTTTATCATATCTTATAGGTCTATATAAGTGAGTATATACCGTGTTTGTCTTTCTCCTTCTGGGATATTTCACTCAGAATGATCTTTTCTGGATCCCACCATTTGCCTGCAAATTTCATGATTTCCTCCTTTTTGATTGCTGAGTAGTATTCCATTGTGTAAAAATACCACAATTTCTGTACCCATTCCTCCGTTGATGGATATCTGAGTTGTTTCCAGGTTCTGGCTATTACAAATAAAGCTGCTACAAACATGGTTGAGCAAGTATCCCTTTTGTGTACTTGAGCAAAGTTTGGGTATATACCTAGCAGTGGTATAGCTGGGTCTTGAGGAAGCACTATTTCTAATTGTCTTAGAAAGCGCCAGATAGATTTCCAGAGTGGTTGTACAAGTTTACATTCCCACCAGCAGTGGAGGAGGGTTCCCCTTTCTCCACAACCTCTCCAGCATGTGTTGTCATTTGAGTTTTTCATCTTGGCCATTCTGATGGCTGTAAGGTGAAATCTCAGGGTCGTTTTGATTTGCATTTCCCTAATGGCTAATGAGGTTGAGCATTTCTTTAAGTGTTTCTCTGCCATTCGATGTTCCTCTTTCGAGAATTCTCTGTTTAGCTCTGTCCCCCATTTTTTAATTGGATTACTTGGTTTGCTGCTTTTCAGCTTCTTTAGTTCTTTATATATACTGGATATTAGTCCTCTGTCAGATAAAGGGTTAGTGAAGATTCTTTCCCAATCTGTAGGCAGTCGTTTTGTTTTGATGACGTTGTCCTTTGCTTTACAGAAGCTTTTCAGTTTCATGAGGTTCCATTTATTGATTGTTGCTCTTAGAGCCTGAGCTGTTGGTGTTCTGTTCAGGAAGTTGTCTCCTGTGTCAATGAGTTTTAGGCTGTTCCCCACTTTTTCTTCTAACACATTTAGAGTATCTGGTTTTATGTTGAGGTCTTTGATCCACTTGGACTTTAGTTTTGTGCAGGGTGATAGATATGGATCTATTTTCATTTTTCTGCATGTAGACATCCAGTTGGACCAGCACCATTTGTTGAAGATGTTGTCTTTTTTTCATTGAATGTTTTTTTTGGCCACCCTTAAATTAAATCTTGAAATTAGTGAAAAAAAAATAATTGGAAAGTAATGCGTGATGTAATTGCTATGAACTTTAGGTGCCACATTTATACTTTAAACTAAAAAAAAAAAAAATCTTCGTGTAGTACACTGTGACTTTATATACTTTTAATTCCAAATGCCTTTAGAATCCAGAAATCCTGAAAAAAGAGTCATGTGAAAAATGCTGATAGTGGAAAAAAGGTGAGCAGTTTAATGTTTATGAGTGAACTTGGTTTAATGAGGTCTACACTGAGTGACTGCTTGCCTGAATATCTCTTCCTCTTGGGTGAACCATTGAGAGAGTTGTACCCTCGTGCTCACCAAACCAGACATGTTTCTGACCTCAGGTCACAGAGAAGCCAGTGCAGGCATCACTAGGGTCCTTCAGTGCTAGAGTGCTTTCCCCCTTGACTTAAAATTCAGAGGCAAATGTAATTTTGGGGGGGATATTCTCCTAAGTGGTGTTAGATGTGTGGTTCTGTTGAGAGGAGGCACGGTGATAGTTCTGAAACTGTTGAGTTTATGAACTGCTCTGCACATCCCACATCCCCTATTATGTGTTAATATCCTCTGGTATCTCAGTAATAGAGGCCACTTACCATGAAGAAGTGAAACAGCAGCTATGAGAAACATCTGTCGGGACTTTGATTGTGATTATCATATCTGATTTCTCTATTATCCTCCACGCCTGTATGTTCTCACAGTTAGGAAGACAGGTTGTCAATCTGTAAGAGAAATGTGTATTTTGGATATAGTTAAAAAAAAAAAAACAAACATTCAAAATAGAGGCTGCATGACCATTGTCTTATTTGGAGTTATCTTTTTTTTTTTTATCTGAATTAAAGATTCCTTAAAGAAATGATACTTTATCACGTCATCGTTAACATTGAAATTCTTGGTCAGGTCCCCAAACTATCCTTGTGATGACTCTTGATGTTGTGTATGATCTAGTATGTCTTTATCTGTTAATACTGTCTTATTCTTCCTTCCACCTGGTTAATCAGAATCCAGCTTTCCGTATCTTCTGTTTCTCAAGGAACATATTTCCACACAGAGTCTTTACATCGTGGCTTACTCACATTTGCTGTCTGCCAAAAATCTTCTTGCCCAAGGCTACCTCATGGCTGGCTCCTTATTGTTAAAAGTTTCAGCATAGTTGTCATCTGTCTAGGGAATGAATTTGCTGGTACAATCACAAGCAGTCCCATCTCCATCCTTCCACTACTTTGTAAAGATTTGAATTTATGCTGTTCATTGCTATTTTAACAATTGTTTACCATGTATAATAAATGTCACCAGTTCGAGAATAGACATTATCTACGTTTTTTTCATCTAATTTCAAGTCTTCTTGAATGTTTATAGCTTGTATTTTTGATAAAAAGATAAAGGTTTCAGAAAAGTGTATTGTTATGTAATCAAAACACCAATTAAAACTTTTACATAAGCCATATAAGATTTTATTGGCTTTATTCCTATTTATCATGAGAATTTATCTTGGAAGAACTTCAGAGCCTTTGGTTGGTTTCTTTAGTCAGTGCGGACTCTGAATTGCCTCTGTCTCAGAGAGAGATGCTTTATTATCCCACAATGAGATCCTCACTACCTCTCTAGGCAGCACTTCTGGACCATCAGCTAAACAAAGTCTTTCGCATCTTCAGCAGACACTAGCTACTCCTAATATCTATTCAATCATCCCAGTCTGTCCTTGTAATGTCACAAGAATCAGATAGTCTTTTCTTTTTCTATATAATAGGCCTTCCGATATCTGAAGACAGTTGTCACACGCTTTATTTCCTGGGTCGTTTATTTGCCAACTTCAGTATTCACTGACACTGGATTCCTTGACTGTTACTTTGTTCTTCACTGAGCACATTCATAACATACGAGTGTTATCCAAGGAGTCATGCATGTTACTCACCACCCACAGCCTTGCCATAACAGATTTTCAGATCACAAAATTGATTTGGGAATGACTTCCAGTTATGATAATCACAGTTTAGTCCATTTGATTTTAGATAAAATCATTCTGAAATAGATGCTAATTTGTTTTGTTTTATCTGATTGCATTCGTTTTGTCCCTGCAGTGGTTTGGTGACCTTGTGACTCCGGTATGGTGGGAAGATGTGTGGTTGAAGGAAGGGTTTGCTCACTACTTTGAATTTGTGGGTACAGACTACCTCTACCCTGCCTGGAACATGGTAAGACCGCTTTCTCCAATTGTATGGAATTTCCCAGGGAAAGGTTGAGATGCTGTGCACTGAGCTTATGTCAAGATTAAAGGTGCCTGAAAACACAAACCAAAGCATGAAAGATGTCTTCTGCAAATAAAGAAAAACAAACCAGAACTTAAGTGTTAGAATTTCAGAAATTAGCTTTTCTTAAAAGAAATTGAATAAAATCTGACTGGGTATATATTGCCTTCTAAGTGTCACAACTTATCTAAATGGAAACATTTTAGATTGCAAAGTTTTATAATATAAATAAATTATCTTCTAAAATAGAGAAGTTTACTGTAATTAATACGTGATATTTTAAGTACAGAATATTTCAAAAAATAAAGAAAAGTGAGAAGACAATATTGCTTCTAAGATATGAAACATACAGATGATGTATTATAAGGTATAATTTCTACCCATAGATGTATTTTAGGATTAGGTAACCTTATAAGATATCAGTAACTTCACTTATAGCATTCTACATGCTATGTGCATGCTTTAGACATGTTCTGAACTATGAACTCAGAGTAGGACTCTTTAAAAAACAAAACAAGCTGTGGTGTTTTATTTTTTAATTTAATTTAATTTTAACCACAGGTCATTCACTTGTATCCCAGCCATAGTCCCCTTCCTTTTTCCTTCCCAATCCCACCCTCCCTCCCTCATCTCCTCCCTGCCCTCTTCCAGGTCCATTGATTGGGGAGGCCCTCCTCCCCTTCCATCTGACCCTAGCCTATCAGGTATCTTCAGGACTGGCTGCAATGTTCTTATCAGTGGCTTAGCAAGGCTGCTCCTCCCTCGGGGGGTTGGGGAGGAGGGTGAGATCAATGAGCCTGTCACTGAGTTCATGTAAGAAATAATCCTTGTCTCCCATACTATGAAACACACTTGGATACTGAGCTACCATGGGCTACATCCGAGCAGGGGGTTTAGGTTATATCCATGCATGGTCCTTTGTTGGAGAAACAGTCTCATAGAAGACCCCTGTGCCCTGATATACTTGGTCCTTGTGGAGCTTCTGTACCCTCTACATCATACTAACTCCCCTTCTTTTATATGATTCCCTGCACTCTGTGGAAGTGTTATATAATGTTTGGTGTTGAGTCTCAGTATCTGCTTTGATACATTGCTAGGTAGAGTACCTACACCCTAGCTAGTAGGGCATTTCAGATGCCCTCTGCGGTAGGCTCCTGTCCTGTAACTTGTTTTCTCCTACTTCCAATGACTAGCCCCTTTGTCTTTCTAGGTGAAGATTGATCATCTTACCCCTGGTCCTTTCTTGTTTATCTTCTTTAGGTGTATAGATTTTAGTATGTTTATGCTGTCTTATAGGTGTAGTACTAACTTATAAGTGAGTATATACCATGTGTGTCTTTCTGTTCCTGGGATACCTCACTCAGGATGATCTTTTCTAGATACCACCATTTGCCTGCAAATTTCATGATTTCCTTATTTTTAATTACCGAGTGGTATCCATTGTGCAAAAGTACCACAATTTCTGTATCCATTCTTCCGTTGATGAACATCTGGGTTGTTTCCAGGTTCTGGATATTACAAATAAAGCTGCTACAAACATGGTTGAGCAAATGTCCTTGTGTACTTGAGCATCTTTTGTATATATGCCGAGGAGTGGTATAACTGGATCTTGAGGAAACAATATTCTTGATTGTCTGAGAAAGCGCCAGATTGATTTCCAAAGTGGTTGTACAAGTTTACATTCCCACCAGCAATGGATGAGGGTCCCCCTTTCTCCACAACCTCTCCAGCATGTGTTGTCATGAGTTTTTGATCTTAGCCATTCTGATGGGTGTAAGGTGAAATCTCAGTCATTTTGATTTGCATCTCTCTGATGGCTAAGGATGTTGAGCATTTCTTTAAGTTTTTCTCTGCCATTCTATATTCTTCTACAGAGAATTCTCTATTTGGCTCCGTACCCCATTTTTAATTGGATTGCTTGATTTATTGCCTTTTAAGTTCTTTAGTTCTTTATATATTCTGGATAGCATCCTCTGTCAAATTTAGGGTTGGTGAAGATCCTTTCCCAGTCTGCAGACTGTCATTTTGTTCTGACAACAGTGTCATTTGCTTTACAGAAGCTTTTCAGTTTCATGAGGTCCCTTTATTGATTGTTGCTCTTAGAACCTGTGCTGTTGGTGTTTTATTCAGGAAGTTGTATCCTGTGCCAATGAGTTCTAGGCTATTCCCCACTTTTTCTTCTACCAATTTAGTGTATCTGGTTTTATATTGAGGTCATTGATCCACTTGGACTTTAGTTTTGTGCAGAGTGAAAAGAATGGATCTATTTTTATTTTTCTTCATGAAGACATCCAGTTGGAGCAGCACCGTTTATTGAAGATACTGTCTTTTTTCCATTGAATGGTTTTGGCTTCTTGGTCCAAAATCAAGTATTCATAGGTGTGTGGGTTTATTTCTGGGTCTTTTATTCAGTTCCATTGATCCTCCTTTCTGTTTCTATGCTAATAACATGTGGTTTTTATTACTATAGCTCTGTGGTACAACTTGAGATCGGGGATGGAGATACCTCCAGATGATTTATTGTTGTACAGGATCATTTTGGAAATTCTGGGTTTTTTGTTTCTCCATATGAAGCTGAGAATTTTTCTTTCAAGGTCTGTAAAGAATTGTATTGGTATTTTGATGGGAATTGCATTGAATCTGTAGATTGATTTTGGCAGGATGGCTATTTTCACTATGTTAATCCAACTGATCCATGAGCATAGGAGATCTTTCTATCTTCAATTTCTTTTTTCAGAGACTATAAGTTTTTTTCAAACAGGTTTTCACCTGCTTGGTTAGAATCTCCCCAAGGTACTTTATGTTATTAGTGGCTATTGTGAAGGGTGTTGTTCTTCTGATTTTTTTCTCAGCCCTTTTGTCTTGATTATACAGGAGGTCTTCTGATTTTTTCGAGTTGATTTTGTATCCAGCCACTTTGCTGAAGGTGTTTATCAGGTGAAGGAGTTCTCTTGTTAAATTTTTGGGGTCACTCATGTATACTATCATTTCATCTGCGAATAGTGAAACTTTGACCTCTTCCTTTCTGATTTGTATCCCCTTGATCTCCTTTATTTGTCTTATTTCTTTAGCTAGGTCTTCAAGTACTATGTTGAAGGAATATGGAAAAAATGAACAGTCTTGCCTTGTCCCTGATTTCAGTGGGATTGATTTAAGTTTCTCTCCATTGAGTTTGATGTTGGCTATAAGCTTGCTATATATTGCCCTACTATGTTTAGGTATGTGCCTTGTATCCCTGATCTCTCCATGACTTTAAATATGAATGGATTTTGGACAAGGTCAAATGCTTTTTCAGCATCTAAGGAGATGATCATGTGGTTTTTCTACTTTAGTTTGTTTATATGGTGGATCACGTTGATGTATTTCTTTATATTGAACCACCCTTGCATGCCTGGGTTGAAACCTACATGATCATGGTGGATGAAATTTTTTGTGTGCTCTTAGATTCAGGTTTGCAAGTATTTTATGGAGTATTTTTGCATCAATGTTCATAAGAGAGATAGGTCTGTAGTTCTCTTTTTTTGTTGGGTCTTTGTGTGGTTTAGGTATCAAGGTGACTTTGGCTTCATAGAATGAGTTTGGTAATGTTCCTTCCGCTTCTCTTTTGTGGAATAATTTGAAGAGAATTGGAGTTACTACTTTTTTGAAGATC